GTTGCTGTCTACAGACTCCAAAAATTGTTTTAGTTGAGCTATCTACAATTAGAGAAATGATAACATTTACATGATGACTTACTGTATGAGCATCAATTTAGTTACCTTTCAGTTTGACAGACTGCTATAAAACAGAAAGATGTCCAGCAAGGAAGTGTGCAGAGACAAAATTGGCACAAGCTGTGTATCAGATATGAATTAGTTATATAGTGAGATGATAAGCTTATGCCTCTGTTTTACTGGAGGTGCTTGTATTTGCTAACAGGGAAGTGAAGTATTTCATGACCTTGAGGTAGCAGAGCATACTTGCTTCCTTTATGTGGGTAGCAATATGTGAGCGTGATAGACTGACACTTAAAATCTGCATTATATTGCCATTTGGAAAGGATATGGGACCAGAGAGATGTCTTGCATATTTTAGAAGATTTTGTGAGCCCAAAAGACTTTCTAACTTCATAAGTATTCAGGGTGCACTACTATGGATCCCAGCCTTAGAGCAATCTCTGTAACCTCTGTGGCATTGCAAAGGTCACTGGATTGAGGTGTCTGCTGGGAGCCTGTGTAGTAAAGAACATGCCAGCTCTGAATACCTAAGGGTTAAGCATCATGGAGTACCACAGATGTTAAACTCCATGAGATATCCTCAGCTGAGGTACAGATGAACTTGTATCATGTCTGTATATTGTCCAGCAACAGCCTGAAGGATGCTCTAACCACTATTCCGAAAAGTTCAGGGTTTTCAGTAAATTAGTTGCGTTGTTTTCAGCTGAGAGAAAAAACAAACAAACAACAACAGCAACAAAACCCTACAAAGCACACACCTGTAAGATTCAAAACTGAAGATAAAAAAATATAATTATGACAGCTTATTGTCGGATGTGTATGTCCTAGCGAAGAGCTTATTTATCATGTGTTGTTATGGACCATTCAGACTAGGTAATAATGAACACCTCATAAGATCCCAAACAATAATAATAATAATAACAAAAATTGAATTTATTCAAAGACAAATAGATTGTGAATATTTACATGGTTAACAAAAGTGGAACTGACATAACATAAGCCTACCCGATATTGAAAGATGTTAGTGCTTAATGCATTGAAGAACAGGTTCAGGAGTAGTGAGTCTTTTTGGAATACTTCTGATGTAATGTATTCAAGAGACAAAGACTTACCAGCTAACTGCTATGTATAGAGCTAGCTTCAGTTTTGACCTTATTGAGGTTTAAGAAATGTATACAGATATGCTAGTCTACAAATATGCTAGCAATTACAATGATAAATGCTGGTAAGTGCCTTTCTCCTTCTTGCCAAAAACTTACTCAAAATCTTTTATCAAAATGTACAATTGAGTACATTGGTGGTGGCATTTTGATTTGTATCTACTGCCAAAACAGTGCATCTTTCAGATAAGATTTTCATGTGTTACTTTTAATAATAATGTTTAAAACTAAAAGACTGCTTTCACCACAATAACGAAGCAGAAAAGCCAAGAAAATAGGTGTGTGTCTTAGCACTGAAATTCATTAAAATAAGAAAAATCTATGAAACGATGATAATGAGAAACATTGGAGTCTCAGAGTGGACAATATGGAAAACAGAGATTGCTTTTATGGCTTGCTGCATGGGGAGTCTCTTTTATTCTTTTTCAGATCTTTCTCTCTCCCTTCCCGATTATCCCCTCTCTGCACCCTCTTTTTTAGATCTAAAGAATAAAAGAAAATTAAGGTAACTCAGTTACTTTTTCACTGCCATAGACATACAGGATTTTAGTAGGGCAAAAACAAGGTCTGGTGGAAATATAAGGAATAATACTTTATCTTGTTTATGTAAAGATTAGTATTAATTATTACCTTTATTCCAGTGCTAAGAAACAAATAATTATTTAGTAATGACTAACACCAAAACCTAAAGAAGGCAATTTGTTGTAATCAAGATATTCAGGTTTCTAATGGCCTCTATTTAATTTTCAGATTGTGTATGTGTTATCTGTATTCATCTTAGAAATAAGTTGTCCTTATAAAACCTGTTTTTAAAAGAAATGTTCAATGAGGTGCAGTCTTTGTTTTTCTCATTAAAGTATTTTTACCTTCTCCAGAATATAATGAATTTGTATAGCAAACGCTATTGAGACAAATGCTTGCCTTTCAATTGCATTTCCTTTTCTTGCATTGCTTATATTATTTCTTTTCTTCAGCAAAGCAGCCCAGTATTAAAAAGTGGCACTAATGTGATCTACATGATACTATTGTTTAGTATCTATATGACACTAGGTTAGATACTAGTATTGATATGATACTTTTCTGCATGTCTGCAGCACTGTGCTGATTTTCTTGACAGACTGTGGGATGTTAAGAATACAGAGGGATTGCAGGGGAAGCTGATACACTGCACACATCTAACCAGAGACAAGTTTTATAATTCTGATATCTATCTCCATTGAATTCTGTTTACTATGGAAAGACAAAAGGCTCTGCCTGGGACAGAGCCCTTTTGCTGTTGGAGCACAGATGGTATGAAAGTGCTTTATGCGACACAAACTGTTACAAAACATTCGGTGCAGTAAAATGCATTGCTGAGACTTGTCTTCTTTAAGCTGCTACTCTGTCACGGTCTTTTGCAAACTAGCATACAACCAGCTAGCTCACTTCCATCATAAAAAAAAAAGGGGGGGGAGGGGGGAAGCATCCTATTTATTTGTTTATTCTTTCCTTCCATTATCTCCCATCAGATAGTTTCTCTCTATAATATCACCTCAGATATTATAGTAGAAACACTGAATAGACAGAATTTCTCTTCTACTAGATATAAAAAGAGATGAGTAGTAAGGAAGAAAGTATATTCTAAAAAAAAAGGTAGGAGAAAAGGAAAGAAGATTTCAGAGCAAACATTCATCACACTTGGGTCTGCTGAACTTTCTGGATACAGTATGAAACACCTCCTTTCCCATGTTATAGTCAGAGCTGTCCCAAAAGGTTTTAATACCTACAGTTGGTTTGGATGCTGCTAATTTTCATAGCTTAAGAGACCAGTGTTTTGCACAGTCTGGTAGGCAACTCATAGGCTAAAACTCTGTTAGAGACAAAGAGCATCAACTACCTTGCTGTTTTCCTGACACTTTGATGATAATTCTACCTTCTACCTGTAATGTTTTTCTCTTGATTTATGATTTGTGTGCTCTTTAGTCCTTGTTTTAAAAGATAAATTAATGAGGTCACAGATCAGAAAAACATTGGAAAGTAGCATAGAATCATCTAGGCTGGAAAAAACTTCTAAGATTATCAATCACAACCATCAACCCAGCATGGCCAAGTCTACCACTAAACCATGTTCCTAAGCATCACAACTACACATCTCTTATTGGTTCATCCATCTTTGAATTTGGCAGTTGGAGCAACTGCTGCTCAAGGGAAAGTCCTGCTTAGAAGTATAAAATCATACAAGTTTGGGAACTTTTTCTTTCTCTGTGCATTCTTCATGGTGGCTGGAAGGGCTTGTAAAGGCTGAAAATGGTCTGTATTGTGACAAAACTTTCACTAAAATCTGTATGTTTAATTAAGATTAGCATGTATCAGTTAGAAGCCTTTCTTATTTTTTGTTAATTTTACAGTTATCCACAGTGACACTTTTTTAATTGTCCTATTATTACAAGCACAACAACTTTCTTTGCCTCTTTTGCTGTGAATAATAAATTTAAAGAGCACCTTGACTAATCTTTCATACACCCAGGCCATAGACAGAGCCCTGAGATGTCGGGACTCTAAACTTCTGTAGATAAAAGTGAGGGTAAGGAGTGCCGAACATCTGAAAATGTCAGGCTTGTCTGTAGCGTCTGTTTCTTCTTCTATCAAAAAAGTAATGAGAGAAAATATCCTGAGAAGGATTTATTAGAATGTCGAATAGTTGAACATTTCTTTTTTCCCTCTGAGCATATGCAATTTTCAGGTACAATTATGAGTGATCATACTTAATATACATTTGTTCACAATTGATTGCTGAAGATTTTAATTTGTCTCTTGTTCCTTTTTTATCCAGACATATCAATATTAAGTGTCAGTATTGTCTCCTGGCACAGTTGCAGGAAGTTTTACCCTTCTGTTTTTAAATGCTGTTGTATGTAAGCCAATTTAAGGTGTTTTGTGAATTGGTATCATTAAGCTATTGTATTTTAACTGTTAGGGAAAACAAGGATTTGGGGATTTCATTGTTGTTGTAGGGAAGCTACATTTATGTATTATAGGAAAGGTCACTTTGAAAAACTGTACATAACAAAAACAAGCATGCAGTGGCATGAAATGACCACTGGACAGCACAAAAGTGAGAAAAATTTCACAACACATCTTCACGATGAGCTACCATCAAAAGATTTTAGGGTTCATCTAGGCAAAGAGATCTTCAGTTAAGCAAAATAATGAGTGCTGCTGTGCTTTTCATAGTCAAAACGTCCTACAAAAGTTAAGCCTTTAAAATACGTCTCTGAAGTGAAGCGTTATACTACTACCAATTTTTTTTTTCTTTTCTTTCCCTGTGTTGAATATTTAAATGCCCAAGGTTGCAGAGAAGGTTGGTTAGATCTAGGACTACAGACTGCAAGCTTCTCCTGCAGTGCCTGAACTCAGACTGCACTAGATGTTCTTCACTTATTTATAGTCCATTGGTCACCACCTTCCTTTTCTCAAACTGATTGTCTTTTAAAACTTCTCCCTATCAGGTCTACAGATTTCTGTTGCACTGAGTGTGCTGACATTGACCAGTTAAGGCTGCCATAAGACTGTATGTCAACCCTTACTGGGCAACATTTACCTCTTCAGACCCCTTTCTCTCCTGCATTATCCTACAAAAAGATCGATTTTAGAGCTCAGAAAAACTCTCTATTGAAAATGCTTTACAGTGCCTTGATGGAAGATCCAATTAAACAAGTTTGATCCAATTAAACAAGTATAGCCCTCACGAGAGAGCCCCCATAGAACCTCTACATATGAAGATGGAAAGTGACTCACCATTTCCAACGTTTGCATTAACCTTGGTAAGACAGCCTCTATGCCAGGAGGCCCGGGGAGGGGAGTGGAAGTAGGAATTGCATTACCCTTAGCAATACTGGATATTGCCAAATACCTGTGAGAAAGCAAAATGGCATAAATATAGACTTCATAAGTGACGGTGAGAGAGATCTCTATTTCAGAGGAAGAAAATTGTCTTTCAGAAGTGTTAAACTGTAATTTGCAGGATTTATTCAACTAACTGGTGATGATTTTTTAAAAGCTTAGAGGTTAGTGTCAGGAAAACACCACAGAGTTCATATAGCAACATAGCTGGTAATATCTGAAGTTCTTTTTAACGAGCTAATGACTAGTAAAAACCTTGTTATTCCAGAAATCAGCTCCACTTGAGGAGCTCAAGAAATTGAAGAAAAATGACTTAGTTTTAGTTAAGAGGTTGGTTTAATTGTGAATATAAGATATTTAAAAGGCTAATGTGCTTGAAATGGAGCGGATGTCAAAGGTAGTTTTTATTTCAAAGTAGAAGACCAGTCAACGAGGCAAAAGAGCAAAATAAAAGAAAAAAAAAAAGGAAACTAATATTTTTTTCAGACATTATCAAATAAGATGGTAATTTATCCATAATATAATTCTACTAATGCTTGACCATGACTTGGTACTAGATGAGTTCCCACAGCTCAAAGCTCTCTGGGGCAGGTTATGAGGATGGTTACAGTCCTGTTTGTTGTACCATCTTCATGATGTTATAGCTTAGGCCAGTCTAGGCAATAGCACTGTTTCCTGAGGTTGTCAGTGCAACTTTGGGAAATATGGGTTTCATTATTGCTAAAGAAAAGGCAGTGGCCTCATGACATTCGGGAAGGTTCCCAACAAATCGTGAAATATAACATCGGTCTAGTATGTGTTGAACTATCATGGAAAAGTAAAAGATATTTGTTTTTGTTTGTTTGTTTGTTTGTTTTTAGTTTTAATCTATGCTACTGGTAGATGCATTAACCTTCAAAATGTAACTTATTGGCTGTAATAATAGAGTTTAATTACTAAAATGAGTGCCTGTGCTTTTCGTCTTTTCCCTCATTCTTGGCATACAGATTTCTCTATCTCTAGGCAAGGCCAGTAAGCTGAGAAGGTGGGTGGCCAGTATGAGCTACTATGGGAAGAAGAGTGCTCAAGTGCAGTTCTAAAGAGAATAATGATGTACTTGACTGTTTCTCATTAAACATTTGACAGATGATCAGCAACGACCGATCAAGACAGAAGCAAAGTAGTCCTCCTGCCTGTTTTTGCTTGAAAGTTGTTACTGTAAGCATTATCTAAATCCTTTTTCCTTCATTGCATTGCATTGGATGTGGCAAAACTACATTCTGTATAAGAATGTAAAAGTCTACTAGACCTGGGATAATTTTAGGGGTATCTTATAATACTCAAAAGGGTTTCTGTCTTTCAGATACTGTCCTAAGAAGTAGGAGTGGAAGATGACTTCTAGTTCCTGTTTGAGACCTTACATGCAGAGTTTCATTCCAAGTTAAGAAATTATAGTTAACAGAAAGTAGAGGTTGCACTTAGATACCTTGGAGATTGTTTGTTTTCCTAGAGAAATAGAAGGCTCTGTTCTTTGCCAAACTCTAGTGGTTTTTGTGCCAGCCTCCATTTTTTCAGCTAGCTGGCTCTTTGCGCTCAAACCCTTACCAAAATTGCTCCCCTTTTCTCTCCTGAACCTGTAATGCAAAAAGCAATATTTTAAAAAATATGTGCACTTAGCAGTTGAGAATTTCACAGCTGGCCCACCACCCACTGGACATAATTCTGGCCCAAATGAGGAATGCATGTCCTCTGAAGTGAAACTTGAAGCCATGTGTCCCCTTCAAATCAATATTTGCACTTGTTATCTAGACATTCTTGGGAAGGCAGAGCTACAAGCTGTCTACCAGGTCTTGCTAAGACCTTTTCTGTAGGAGAGAGGAGAAGGTGGATGTGGGAATCCTTGTTAGTGATAGAGTATTATGAATGTAGCTGTTTTATCTTCCATCATTCCGGCTTAATTAAAATGTTAAGTACCCTGGGATAAGGACCTAGAAGTTCAGCATGTATACTGAACAAATCTCTCCTAGCAGAATTCTACCTAGCCAGCAAGTATAGTCTACATGGGATTATGATTTCTTCTAGCTTTCTAGAAGAAGAAACAGCTGAAGAAATAAGTTATGTTCAAATAGTAGCTGAGGCTATCTTTGGAATAGTGATTCCTATAAACTGATAATGGAGAGGAAGACTTTACTGCATAAATCAGGACTTCTGGGGCCATTGATAAGTAGTTTAAGTAGTTTACAAGCAGAGTATTTTTTTTTTATTTTTAATGTATTTTATTTATTTTTTTATTTTTTTTTGTAGCAGAACATCCACATGCACAGGAAAAAAAAAAAAAAAAAAAAAAAAAAAAAAACAGGAAATTGCCCCAAATTGTATGAATTAACTGTTTCATTTAATAAACAGATGCCAAGCTTTTAACTGATGAGTGGGGTTGTCTTGCACATACCAGGACTTAATATTTATAATCATAGACCTATGTTTTACCCAATATAAAAACATTTCACATCTGCTCAAAATGCCAATGATCTCAATTTATGCATAGCGGCAACTGCTTTTAAGGAGGTAGATCCTGCAACAGAAGTAATTCTGGACCTGGCTTCATCTCTGAAGCATATTCATTACTTCTCTTGCTTTTCAAACTTCACAATTCTTTTGCTTCAGGTCTGAATGTTTATTACCTCTTGTTGAAGTCTACCTGTAACCAAAAAGCAGAGCTATCAATTCCAACTCTTTTGTCCTAGTAATGGCATTGATATTATGAGGGCTTTGATCTTGTGAAAAACAATATAAAATGTCCTCTGAAATGCGTGGATTATTTATTTATTTATTTATTTGTGTGTGTGTATGGTTAAAAATAGCATCTGCAATAATTCCATGACAAAACTAAAAGTGCCTTTCTTATTCTGTGGAGGATGCTAAATCTGACTTTTAAAATAAAGACAAGATGTGCTAAGATAATTATTGGAAAAAATCAGCTTTACATGAATTTGACAGCTGTTTTTAAAGCTGGCAGCACCATTTGTTATAGTACAGAAGACCTAGGTTCAAAACCACACATGAGGTTTTTTATTCTCAAAAGTCAGCAGACACTGGAGGTAGCATAACAAAAATGACAGTCTTAGTGCAAAGAGAAACAGAAATCAATCTGTGATCTTGAACTGTTTGTTTTCCCTGTATAAAAGGGGCAAGGACTTAGAAGTAGATAATATGTCCCAAAATGACTTGATGTCCATAGCTGGATGGGAACTCTTTTACTCCAGATTTACAGTGACTGTATTGGATATGCCAGAAAATGATGGATCAGTACAGTTGTATAAATCCCAAACACACAAGTATAGCTTTTCAAAAACAACTTACAAAGCAGCCTTCCAGGAGAAGAAAAAGTCCACAGTAATGACAGCACACTGACAGTACAATAAAGAGGATTTTTTTATTCTAACTGCAGGGGTTGACAATGACCAGAGGGCAAATGCATAAAATAGGAAAGAAGAGCCTATGCTCAAATGTCATAAACTCCCTGCCTCAATTGAAAGAAAAATAAATGTTCTCAAAATGTGTTTACTTTGTATAGGCATAATAATAATAAAACGATAATTTATCTGACCACAGTAAGTATTTCTGAGCTTGAAGCTGAGGATTTGATGCTACATGACATTATCTGTGTATAAATAAATCCTTTTCAAATGTTAATTGCCATAAAAATAAATGAAACCTTTGACATCTGATGATGAGAAAGATTGCAGCAAAAATGAAAATGCCCAGTGAATGAAGGGTTAAGTGGGTAGATGGTCATCTTTGTGAGCAATTTTTGTTGACAGTTTTTAGGCTGTACAATTCAATTGTACAGCAAAGCCGATTATTAACAATTTCTATTATTACTGAAAAAGAATGATAGCAACTCCCAGGGATGACTATTTCTATATGAAATGAGATTTGCAGGCATAAATTGCATCCTCAAAGCAGATCTCAATCTAATCTCAATATTTATTGAGATACTCGAATCTCAATATTTAGTTCTAAACAAACCTTCCTTCAAAACTTTTATTACTTTTTTTTTTTTTTTTTTTTTTTTTTTTTCCCAGTTCTTCCTCTTATGCTATCAAATGCTTATGTTAGAAAGAAGGATTTTTGTCTGGAGTTTTTCTTCCCCAGATATTTCCCATGTGTAGCTACAATCCTCAAATGGCTTGTATAAAGAGGATTAGAACATGTCATCACTAATTGCAGATGAGGATTTAAAGCAGGGATGGGCAGGAGAAGCAGAAAGATAAGGTTGCCCCACCTGTCTTCATTTGTATGGCATGAATGTTTTCCTTCTACCTCTGCTGCTCCAGAAAGTTAGCCTGGCTTCCACATCTGTCATTATCTTATGGCAAAATAAAACAGATCTTTGTTGAACATACTGAAAAGCTAAATTTTCTATTGAACATCATTCCCAAAGAAAAATTTCTGCCATGAGGTCTACACAGGGTTAGTTGGTTCATGAAACCACAAGAAAAGGTGAAGATATAAATAAATAATAATAATTCCTGATGTAAAAAAAAGCTAGGTTGTAATTGTGGAATTATATTTTCCTGCTCCACCACATTTTTTTGGTTATGTCACTTTGCAGTGCTGTTGTTGATCTTTACATATTTCATAGGAGTACATGCTATGAGTATGGAAGTAGGAATGGTAATAAATACAAGACCCAATCATCTGCAAATATTACTGTTATTTAATGTCAACAACGGGTAGTAATTTAATTAATATATTTAAAGAATTACATAAATAGCAATAGAACAAAATTATGTCAGCTTGCATTTCCCTTTGTTTTGCTTCAAGACGAATCAATTATGAAACACAAATCAAAGTAATAGATACACATTTAAAACAATTTTGGGTCCCAGACATTAATTAACCATGACTGAGAGAACTTTCTCTCATAAAGATAAATGTTATATAATAAAGAACCTAAAAGCTCACATGTGAAGCCATGGACTACTTGGAAGGACACTTTATATCTTTTTATTAACCTTAACGTTCCTT